GGCAGTTTTACCACCCCACCTCGCGCCGGGTCTTCGCCTCTCAGGACGTCACCTTTGACGAGTCGGTCCCTTTTTACCGTCTCTTCCCCTACCGCACTGCCCCCCTCCCTCCCCCGCCGCTGTTCCTTGCTCCTGGTCCCCCTCCGGTAGACCCCCTTCCCCCTCAGGGTCCTGCTCCTTCAGGTGTCTCTCAGGTAGACCCTCCTCCCGTCGCTGAGCCTGTCGAGGTCACTGGTGACTCAGGTGCTGCTGCAGGTGGTGCTGCTGGGAGTGCTGAGTCTGGGGGTGCTGAGCCTGCGGGTGCTGGGCCTGGGAGTGCTGGGACTGCGGGTGCTGGGGCTGAGGGTACTGTGCCTGAGAGTTCGGCGCCTGGGGGTGCTGTGCCTGGGGGTGCTGCGACTGGGAGTGCTGAGCCTGCGTGTGCGGAGTCTGGGGGTGCTGCGCCTGCGGGTACTGAGCCTGGGGGTGCTGCTGCTGAGCCTACGGAGCCTCGGGTTGCTGCGTCTGGGGGTGCTCCGGTTCGGGGTGCTGAGCAGTCTCTCACACCGCAGCAGCTTCGTGACTGGTACGTCCGGCGCTTTCGCCGTCCTCGTGGCTCGGCTGGAGCTGGCGGTGCTAGCGGAGTTGGAGCTGCCGACTCTGGGGGTGCTCTTCCTAGCGGTGCTGCGGACCCTGGGGGTGGCGCTGCTGCTGGTGCTGCGGACCCACCTGGTGGAGCTGCTGCTGGTGCTGAGGACTCGGACGTTGGAGCTGCTGCTGGAGCTGAGGACCCGAGCGGTGGCGCTGCTGCTGGTGCTGAGGACCCGGACGTTGGAGCTCCTGCTGGTACTGAGGACCCGGCCGCTGGAGTCTCTTCTGCTTCTGGAGACGCTGCGCGGCCGCGACCGTACTTCGTACCGCTCCTTCAGCAGGTTCTTGGGCAGGCTCCTCCTCCTTGTCCTCCTCCCTCCGTAGAGTGTCCTTCGCCTGTCCAGCCGCAGTCACAGTTACCGCCTACCTCGCCTCTCCCTGCTCCCTCTCCTTACACTGGTCCCACAGGAGGTCTTACAGAGCGTCGTGAGCCTGAGTCTCGTCCTGCGTCGCCTGTTCGTACTGCTCGCACTGGTAGTCGTGTCCGTCGTGCTCGTCCTCCTCCTGTCCCAGGCACTCACTACATGACTCTGCGTCCCTCTACTGCTCCTCAGCGTGTCCCTCTACCGTCTCCTCCTGCGTCCTCTTTGCCTGCCGTTCCGGACCCTGAGTCTGACCGGTATCGCGCTGAGCACCCTACTGTCACGCGTCTCCTAGCCACTGTTGTCACTGACCCTACCTTTGAGTCCTCGGCTGCGTCTGCTCTGGTCGTTGAGTTGGTTGACTTTGCTGCTGCCTGTCGTCTAGACTACGCTGCTAGCCTTGTTGCTGAGTCTGCGTCTGCGTCTGTCTGTCCTCCGTCCGTCGGGGGTGAGTGTGCTCTTGGCACGGACGTCCTTGAGGACAGGCAGGAGGACTTTGACTCTCTCGCGGCTGCTGTACCTCATCTCGTGGCCTGGTTGCTTGCCCCTGAGGGAGACCCGGATGCACTAGACATCCCCACTCCGCGCACTTACGCAGAGGCGATCTCGGGTCCCTACTCCTCTCAGTGGCAGACAGCCATGGACGCAGAGATGGCATCCTGGAAGTCCACAGGCACCTACGTCGACGAGGTTCCCCCTCCTGGGGCGAACATGAGGGTGAAGCGGCCGCCAGGTTCTCCGCCTGTCTTCAAGGCTCGTTACGTTGCTAGAGGCTTCAGTCAGCGTCAGGGGGTCGACTTCTTCCAGACCTTCTCCCCCACCCCGAAGATGACCACTCTTCAGGTTCTGCTGCACGTTGCTGCTCAGCGTGACTACGAGCTTCACTCTCTTGACTTCAGCACAGCGTTCCTGCAGGGCAGCCTGCACGAGGAGATCTGGCTGCGCCGCCCACCTGGCTTTACTGGGTCGTTTCCTCCTGGTACCCAGTGGAGCCTCCGCCGGCCAGTCTATGGTCTCCGCCAGGCGCCACGTGAGTGGCACGACACACTGAGGACTACACTTGCGGCTCTTGGGTTCGCGCCGTCTACTGCTGACCCGTCGCTGTTTCTGCGCACAGACACGTCGCTGCCGCCGTTCTACATTCTCGTGTACGTCGACGACTTGGTCTTTGCTACTGCTGACACAGAGGCACTCGCTCGTGTGAAGTCGGAGCTGCAGAAGAGACACACCTGCACTGACCTGGGTGAACTGCGTAGCTACCTTGGCTTGCAGATCACTCGGGACAGAGCTCGCCGCACCATCACCCTGACTCAGTCACACATGGTGCAGCAGGTCCTTCAGCGCTTCGGCTTCCAGTTCTCCTCACCACAGGCCACACCTCTGGCTACCAGCCACTCGCTCTCAGCTCCACCTTCGGACGAGTCCGTAGAGCCGAGTGGCCCGTACCCAGAGCTTGTAGGCTGCCTCATGTACCTGATGACTTGCACGCGACCTGACCTCGCGTACCCTCTTAGCATCCTTGCTCGTTACGTTGCGCCTGGGAGACACCGGCGAGAGCACTGGGAGGCTGCTAAGAGGGTGCTGCATTACTTGTGCAGTACATCAGGCATGGGGCTGGTGCTTGGAGGACGCGACAGAGTTGTCCTCACTGGTCACTCGGACGCTTCTTGGGTGGACGACCTGGCTACGCAGCGGTCGTCACAGGGTTACACCTTCAGCCTTGGCTCTGGTTCTGTCTCGTGGCGGTCCACCCGCTCTTCCTCTGTTCTCGGCTCTAGTTGTGAGGCTGAGATCTACGCCACAGCCATGGCTGCACAGGAGTTACGCTGGCTCACCTACCTGGTGACTGACTTGGGAGAGCGGCCTAGTTCTCCTCCAGTTCTGTACGGTGACAACAAGGCGGCTCTTGCCTTGTGTTAGGAGCACAGACTGGAGCACAGGACGAAGCACATTGCTCTTCGCTACTTTCTTGCTCGAGAGCTTCAGCAGCGCGGTCAGCTTCGGCTTGTGTACGTGGACTCGAAGGCCAACACTGCTGATATCTTCACCAAGGCGCTCCCGCCTAGTGATCATCAGCGGCACTGTACTTCTTTAGGCCTTGTGTCCACGTTTCCTCACTTGCTCACTGCTTGACATTCCTTGTACTGTACTTTATATATATCTTGTTGCTTGCTTGCTAGGTATTGATCACTGTGTTGCTTGTCTTGTACTCTATCTAACACTGCATGTGAACTGGCCTTGTGGCCTTTGCTTGTGCTCGGAGTGTGGTGACGTTGTGATCCACCCTGGGCTTGCGTTGCTTTGCTGGACTGGTCTTGTGACCCTTTGTTCTCCCCCACTTTGCCTATGGGGGTGTGTTAAATTGTAATGTGTTATATGTTGGTAGGCTGTAGTGGGGTAGCCAATATGGGGTACAACCCCAACTAGGGTTTGCTACTTGTACCCAACTGTTTCATTCAATGCACTCATTCTTGCCTAGTTCTCTTAACACTGCCCCGACCTGTCCAAGTGGGAGGATTTACTCCCTATGCTGGGAGCTCGCGTATAACAACGCACCCTCCACAACAACCAATCAGTCCCCGTTCTACCTTAATCACGGGAAAGACCCCGTGGTACCCTCTTCAACGACTCCAGACAACCCGGTACCACGATCGCAGCAGTTCATCTCGGAACTTTAGGCAACTCGCGATAAAGCAGCAGATTTTATCCGAAAGGCTAACACCGTTGCCACCCGCTACGCTGACAAGCATCGACGAAAATTACCCTTCCATGACGAGCAGATGGTCCTTCTGGAAACAAAGAATCTTTGACTGCCCCAACCCGCTAAACTACGTCCACGCTACGTGAGACCCTTCTGCATCATTCGGATGTTAACCGCGGTCACGGCGAAGTTATTTTTACAGGGTGACTGGAAAATACACGACGCTTTCCACGTCAGCCTGCTCCGCCATTATGTGGCTCCGTAGTCATCCGACATCGCCCGTCCCAACATAGCCCCAAGTGTTCGGCCCGTGGCAGACCCGACACTACAGTCGTCCAAGATTCTGGCTCATCGCATACGTGCGACGCCAACCGGACATCACGTCGATTTCCACCTACGTTGGGTCGATCGCACGAGCGAAGATGACACGTGGGTCCCCTCTGACTCGCTGCAAGGGCACTCGGTATTACGGGACTACCTTTCCCGCCGACGTGTGCCAGATATTGACCACCTTTCTTAAGGGAAGGGGGGGGGGGGGGGGGGGGGGGGGGGGGGGGGTAGTTTAAGAAATTTTGCATAATTCCTTGCTGAGGCACCGTATGCGCGTACAATTCCAACTTTCGATATTGCATTCTGCACACTCATCTTACAACTCATAAAAAAAATGGTCAGGTAGTAAATGTACGCGACTTAGCAATTGTTTCGTTTTTCCCGCACTTTTATCAGCATTTGAACCATAGGATTATATTAATCATCCAAAAAAGGCCAAACATGCATCTTGCCAAGGACTACATAAAGCCAACCCCTTCCTCCACGTAGACACACGTGTCTTAGCAAAATGTAAGAGCATCTGCTAAGTGAGGGTAAGCATGTCACCTGAGAATCGTAATCCACCCTCTACCGTCATCGCCCGGATAGTAGACAGTGTTGAATAGTAGACAGGGGTTGTCTATTATCCAGGTTTCTCTGTTAGAAACTAGCAGCACGAATGAATGCATTGATGAGAAAGTTGGTACAAGTACTAACCCTAACTGGGTTTTTCCCCATATTGGCTACCCCACTACAGCCTACACAGCACAATGTTCTGACACACCCCCATAGGCAAGGTGGGGGAGTACAAGCAGTCACAGAAAAAGCAAAGCAAGCTCAGGGTGGATCACAACGTCACCACACACTCCGAGCACAAGCAGATGGCCACAAGGCCAGTTTGCATGCAGCGTTTTATAAAAGAAAGCAAACAGTACAGTGATCAGAACCTAGCAAGGGTAAGCATGCAGGTATATATATAGATCACAGTACAAGCAAGGTCACGCAGTGAGCAAGTGAGCAAACGTAGGCACAAGGCCTAAAGCAGTACACAGACGCTGATGATCACCAGGCGGAAGTGCCTTGGTGAAGATATCAGCTGTGTTGGCCCGGGTGGCCACGTAAGCAAGATGAAGCTGACCACGCTGCTGCAACTTTCGAGCAAGGAAGTAGCGTAGAGCGATGTGCTTCGTTCTGTGCTCCAGTGTGTGCACCTGACCCAAGGCGATAGCAGCCTTGTTGTCTACGTACAGAACTGGAGGAGAACTAGGCCGCTCTCCCAAGTCAGTCAGCAGGTAGGTGAGCCAGCATAACTCCTGTGCAGCCATGGCTCCTGCGTAGATCTTAGCCTCACAACTGGAGCTGAGAACAGAAGAACGAGTAGACCGCCAAGAAACATTGCCGGAACCAAGGCTGAAGGTGTAACCCTGAGACGACCGCTGCGTAGCCAGGTCGTCAACCCAAGAGGCGTCTGAGTGTCCAGTGAGGACAACTCGACCCTGTCCTCCAAGCACCAGCCCCATGCCTGATGTACTACACAAGTAGCGCAGCACCCTCTTAGCAGCCTCCCAGTGCTCTCGCCTGTGTCTCCCAGGTGCAACGTAGCGAGCCAGGATGCTAAGAGGTACCCTGGAGTGAAGGTGATCAGGTACATGAGGCAGCCCACAAGCTCTGGATACGGGCCACTCGGCTCTACGGACTCGTCCGAAGGTGGAGCTGAGAGCAGATGACTGGTAGGCAGAGGAGTGAACTGTGCTGAGGAGAATTGGAAGCCAAAGCGCTGAAGGACCTGCTGCACCATATGTGACTGAGTCAGGGTAATGGTGCGGCGTGCTCTGTCCCGGGTGATCTGCAAGCCAAGATAGCTGCACAGCTCACCCAGGTCTGTGCACGTGTGTCTCTTCTGTAGCTCCGACTTCACAAGGGCCAGTGCCTCATTGACAGCAGTGGCAAAAACCAAGTCGTCGACGTACACGAGGATGTAAAACGGCGGCAGCGAAGTGTCTGTGCGCAGAAACAGCGACGGGTCAGCAGTCGAAGGAGCAAACCCGAGAGCCGCAAGCGTCGTCCTCAGTCTGTCGTGCCACTCACGAGGCGCCTGACGGAGACCGTAGACTGGCCGCTGGAGGCTCCACTGGGTACCTGCAGGAAACGACCCAGTGAAGCCAAGTGGGCGGCGCAGCCAGATCTCCTCGTGCAGGCTGCCCTGTAAGAAAGTTGTGCTGAAGTCAAGAGAGTGAAGCTCGTAGTCATGCTGAGCGGCAACGTGCAGTAGCACCCGAAGAGTGGTCATCTTTGGGGTAGGGGAGAAGGTCTGGAAGAAGTCAACTCCCTGTCACTGACTGAAGCCTCGAGCAACGTAACGTGCCTTGAAGACAGGCGGAGAACCCGGCGGCCGCTTCACCCTGAAAATCCACATGCCATCGATGATGTATGTTTCCCCAGGAGGGGGAACTTCGTCGACGTAAGTGCCTGTGGACTTCCAGGATGCCATCTCTACGTCCATGGCTGTCTGCCACTGAGAGGAGTAGGGACTCGAAATTGCCTCTGCGTAAGAGCGCGGGGTCGAGATGTCCAGTGCATCCGGGTTTATTTCAGGTGCAAGCAGCCAGGCCACGAGATGAGGTACAGCAGCCGCAAGACACTCAAAGTCCTCCTGCCTGTCCTCAAGGACGTCCGTGCCAAGAGCACACTCACCCCCGACAGACGGAGGACAGACAGGCTCAGACTCAGCAACAAGACTAGCAGCGTAGTCGAGACGACACGCAGCAGCAAAGTCCACAAGCTCAGCAACTAAGGCAAACGCAGCAGTAGACTCAAACGACGGGTCAGTGACGACAGTGGCCAGGAGACGCGTGACAGTAGGACTGGTAGCACGGACCAAGTCAGACTCAGGGTCAGGAATGTCAGGAAGAGAGGACGCAGGAGGAGACGGCAGATGGACCCGTTGCGGAATAGAGGAAGGACGAAGTGCCATAGTGTGAGTACCTGGCACAGGAGGAGGACGCGGACGAGGGACACGACGAGCACGACGAACAGTGCGAACAGGGGAGGCAGGACGAGACGCAGGCTCATGACGCACCGTAAGGGAGGCTGGCTGCTCAGTGTAACGAGACGGGGCAGGCAGCGGCGGGTGAGTCCGGAAGAAGGGCAGTGGACGAAGGAAGACTAAGAACCTGACGGAGCACCGACTTAGGCGTTAGGTCAGACAGCTGCGAAGGCGGCAAGAAAAACAGGCGCTGCTGCACAGTGCCCACAGCACCAGTACCTCCAGCTCCAGGGTCTCCAGCGCTAGCACCTCCAGCTCCAACGCCACCAGCTCCAGTGTCTCCAGCACTAGTACCTCGAGCTCCAGGGTCTCCAGCGCCACCAGCTCCAGCTCCAGCGCCACCAGCTCCAGCGCCTCCAGCACCAGCGTCTCCAGTCCCAGTGCCGCCAGCTCTAGCGCCTCTAGCGCCAGCAGCTCCAGCTCCAGCGCCTCCAGCGCCAGCGCCTCCAGCTCCAGCGCTACCAGCTCCAGCTCCTCCAGCGCCAGCGCCTCCTGCTCCAGCGTCTCCAGGTCCAGTGCCTACAGCTCCCGCGGCTCCATCGCCAGCGCCTCCTTCGCCAGCTCCTCTAGCTCCAGTACCTCGAGCGCAAGTGCCTCCAGCTCCAGCGCCTCCAGCCCCAGTGCCTCCAGCTCTAGCGCCTCTAGCTGTAGTAGTGCGACTCCGAAGGTGGGTGCGCCGAGCGAACCACTCGCGCAGCTGCTGCGGGGAGAGAGGCTCCATAGTGCCACCAGCACCAGTGCCTCCAGGACTAGCAACCCCAGTGCCACCAGTGCCTCCAACTCCAGTACCTCCAGCGTCAGTGCCTCCAGCTCGAGGGCCTCCACCTCTAGCGCCTCCAGCTCGAGCGCCTCTAGCTCCAGCACCTCCAGCACCAGCGCCTCCAGTGCCAGTACCCCTAGCTCCAGTGCCTCCACCGCCAGTGCCGCCAGCTCGAGTACCTCCAGTGCCAGTGCCGGCAGCTCTTGGGCCTCCATCTCCAGTAGCACGACTCCGAAGGCGGGTGCGCCGAGCAAACCACTCGCGCAGCTGCTGGGGCGAGAGAGGCTCTCGCTGGCTAGACCGCTGCGGCGAGGTACCCGCAGGACTACCAGCAGACGCACCACCCCCAGGCGCAGCACCCCCAGGCGCAGCACCCCCAGGCTCCGCACGCACAAGCTCAGCACCCCTAGGCTCTGCACGCTCAGACTCAGCACTCCCAGGCTCCGCACACTCAAGCTAAGCACCCCCAGGCTCCGCACGCTCAGGCTCAGCACCCCCAGACGCAGTACCCCAAGCAACACCACCCCCAGCAGCACCAGAGTCACCAGTGACCTTGACAGGCTCAGCTAAGAGAAGTGGGTCTACCTGAGAGACACCTGAAGGAGCAGGACCCTGAGGGGGAAGGGGGTCTACCGGAGGGGGACCTGGAGCGAGGAAGAGCGGCGAGGGGGGGAGAGGGGCAGAGCGGTAGGGGAAGAGACGGTAAAAGGGAACCGACTCGTCAAACGTGACGTCCTGAGAGGGCAGGACACGGCGCGAGGTGGGGTGGTAAAACTGCCAGCGAGTCGCGTTAGGAGGGAAGCCAAGGAAGACACAGGGAATGGTGCGGGAGGAGAGCTTGTCCGCGGAGGTATCGCGGACAAAGGCACGAGAGCCCCAGACCCGGAACACCGACGCATCGCCAACCTTCCCCGTCCATAGCAATGTAGGCGAGGTCTCCGGCAAGGAGACACGGGGCCAGAGGTTGAGCTGATGCGCCGCGTACCGGACCGCAAACAGCCACAGAAAATGGGGAGCAGCCGCATGGATCATGGAGGTATGAGCCACCTCCATGACTAAGCCAATGCGGCGCTCTGCAATCCCATTCTGCTGCGGGGAGGCCGGAAGCGTGAACAACTGGAGGATGCCCTCCCCCTGACAAAACTCTCGCAAGAGGTGGGACAAGAACTCACCACCTCTGTCAGAGTGCAGACGCAGGACGGGAAGGTCCGTGCGGAACCGCTCGCGGATCTCGAGACGAACAGTGCAGATCCAAGGGATCGAGACATCAGGGACCTCACCCTTGCTGTGCAAGGGGAAGACCGTGGTGTAACGCGAGTAGTCGTCAACAACCAGCGCAAAGTACCACTCGCGGCCCTGTCCAGTGACGCGGGCTGGGCCCCACACGTCCATGTGGAGAGTCTGCAGGGGAGCAGTCGTCGGGGGAAACGAGGAGGAGTGAGGAGCGGCGCGCTGCCGCCCCTCGATGCAAGGAATGCAGGGCGGGGCAGGCGAGGGTGGGAGGGGAGGCAGAGACCTGGGAAGACCAGAGACAAGAAGGCGGGAGTGCATGCCACGAAGGCGTGGCAGGGAGGGGTGACCAAGGCGGTGGTGCCAGAGGAGAGTCTGGTGCGACAGGAGGCGACACGAGCAAGAGGCGGCTACCTGACCTGACGCGAACACCTGAGCAGACGCAGCGACATGAGGAGGCGCAGTAGTCAGTGTGTACAGACTCGACCCAGGCCGACGGGTGAACGTGGCCAGGTGACGGCCAGTCCGGGAGCACGTGCAGATCGCCACACGTTGGCCTCCAAAGATAATGGTATCAACCCCTGCATCCTGAAGGACCGCGTTACTCACCAAGTTCGTCGAGAACGAGGGGAGGTGGAGACTTGACAGTGAGCCGGACGGAACCGCCGGACACGGGAGAACAGTGGAGGAACGTGCAAGAACTGGGCCCCCAGAGGGGTCAACCAGTTAGACTACAACGGGTCTAGGGAGTGGTGTGACTGTGGTACTGTCGCGAAAGAAGCAGCGAGAAGCACCTGAGTCAAGCGTGAAGGTGTGCAAGGCCTCAGCAGGTGCAGTACCAGAGAGAGCAGACTCACTAGCACCTAGAGTAGCAGCCTCTATACCAGGATCGGGCGGCACACACAGGTAACAGTCACCGTCAGTATCAGCAGTCAAAGCATACTTGGCAGTAAGGATAGCGTCATAGTCTAGAGCAAATATATCCACTTTGTCCCGAAGTAGCTCTAGCCAGCGGGGGATCTCAGCCTCGTCGCCAAACTCTGCGCGCCAGGAATCGCTTAGATAGGCAAAGCAGCGGGATTGTGTGTGGCCAGGTGTCCCGCAAGTCTGACCTGTCCGAGCACCTGTGCGAACGACGTACGGGCAGCGAGCAGTACTCCGGGACGCACCACGCTGAGCTACCACTCATTGAGCTGCTGGGACGTAAGGGTCACGCGCGGGAGCCGCCGCAGCTGCATCTGCCCACCACCAGAAACTCCCCACTGAACAGTGCCACCGCGGCCGCCACTACGGCCGCCGCCACCACTCCCACTGTTGCCACCACCGTCGCCACCACTCCCACCACTATCACGAAGAGAAGTCATAGCGGGCAAAGCAAGGAGGCGTGTGACCAGCAGGGCAGTACGTAGGGAAGGGAGGGCGGCGCACGGTCAGATCAGGGCGGTGCGCTGCAAGTAGGGCGGCGCGTAGGCAGGGGAGGGCACGCGGGCAGGCAAGGGGTAGCGTGTGGGCCGAAAAGGGCGACGCGCGGGCCGCTAGCGCAGTGTGCGGGCTGCCAAGGGCGGTGCGCGAGCTGCAGGGCAGTGCGCGGCCAGCAGGGCGGCGCGCGGGTCGCGCGACGGGCAGGGCAGGGCGTACGCGCGGCGCGAAGGCAGGACAGGGCGTGCGCGGGTCGCGTAACGGGCAGGGTAGGGCGTACGCGCGGCGCGCGGGTAGGGCAGGGCGTGCGCGGGTCGCACGGCGGGCAGGGCAGGGCGTACGCGCGGCGCGCGGGCAGGGGAGGGCGTGCGCGGGTCGCACGGCGGGCAGGGCAGGGCGTACGCGCGGTGCGCGGGCTGGGCAGGGCGTGTGCGGGTCGCGTGACGGGCAGGGCAAGGCGCACGCGAGTGGGGCGCGACGCAGGCAGGGCGTGCGCGAGGCGGCGCGAAACAGGGCAGGGCGCGCGCGGGCAGCGCGACGCAGGCAGGGCGTGCACGGGGCGGCACGACGCAAGGCAGGGCAGGGCAACGGGTGGGGCAGCGCGACGGGCACGAACGATCGGGTGGGCCCTAACAAAGGCGGTCCTGGAACAGGACCTGCTCTGAAACCATGTTAGAAACTAGCAGCAGGAATGAATGCATTGATGAGAAAGTTGGTACAAGTACTAACCCTAATTGGGTTGTACCCCATATTGGCTACCCCACTACAGCCTACACAGCACAATGTTCTGACAGTCTCTTATAAACAGGCTAGCCTCATTATAAGACACGCATTTGTGTGTACGCGTTAAGCCAGTGTAGAGGTTAGGGGCAATCGTATAGCGAGGGGGTATCTTCTAGACGGTTCTTTGTCCATTTATAAGATTTATAAGACACCCTAAACCATCCCAAATACAAGACAACCAAAGCATTTATGCCCATGTACGAGATAAGACATATACGTATGTCTACTATCCGGGCGATGACGGTATTTAGGAATCATTATGGGGTGGGGAGACTCCCTGCCGCCCGTGGATCATACTTGTCATCTACACGCTCACAGAGCCCCTTCTAACTTCTCGTCTTATGCACAGCAGCAACTGCGGCTCCTCCCCTTTCCCAGCCCCACCAATCAACTCCCGTCCCCCTCCATCTGTGCACCTGTCAACCACATGCCATGCTGACTATTTGCCCTTCAACGCCCCCTTCTCTCCGCGCTGCTACTTCCCCCCGCGGGTCACGTTGGCCATCTGGCCGCGCACGGCTCCCTGGGGGAACGTGGAGGTGGCGATGAGAGCGTGGAAGGAGGCGGGGGCAGCGAGAATGCTGCTCACAGCCGCAGCCACAGAGCCGCCCGCAGCGGCGGAGAGGGACGACGCGTTGCCCCACACGCCCCTGGCGCCGTAGCTGAAGCGCGCAGCCGCAGGGGGGGGAGCAGCGGTGGCGTTGGTGGCGCGATGGACGGGGCGGGTGGTGTTGGTCCAGGCGGAGGCGGGGAAGGCGAGGAGGAGCGAGCCAGAGGGGGAGGAGGCGGGGCCTGCGTGGATGGAGGTGGCGGTGGGAGGTGAGGGCGAGGAGAGGTGCGCGAGGGAGAGCGAGTAGTGCACGTCCATGCCCGTGGCCGTCCTGGGGAATGCAGGGTGGGGAAGGGGGTGGGGAAGATAAGGGGGGTGAGGAAGAAAGGCAGGGTGAAAACAGGAGGGCTGAGATGGAGCGTGGAGAGCAGAGGAGCGAGTTGCAAGAGCAGGGAGAGGAGGGCTCATAAGCAAGTGAAAGGAGAAGCAGAGCCAAGGCGGTGCAAAAGAGAAAGAGTAGAGAAGGAGAGGCAGAGCGGCACTGACTTGACAAGCGTGAGGTCCAGGCGGCCCGTGGCATTGGCCATGCCTGCTGACCCCACCATCTGCTCGCCACTCATCCACGCGCCCACCACACCTGCCACACGCAAGCAAGCAAGGCGTCAAGTCCACCGGCTTACCACAGAGTGCAGCAATGAACGAACATAACAGGTTATGGCGGAATGCAACAGGTCCACAGAACGCATTTCCACCGGCTTACCACAGGCTGGAGCAATGAATGAACATAAGTAGTCAGAAGCAGTCGTGCAATCCCACTCACCAATCACACTGCCTCCTCGCCGGCCATTCCCGCCACCAGCACCGCCACCCTCCTTGCGCACGCCAGCGACACCAGCAGCAGCACCACGCTGCGACCTTGTGCCATTCACGTGCCTCGTGCCATTCACGTGCCTCGTGCCATTCACGTGCCTCGTGCCATTCACGTGCCTCGTGCCTTTCACGTGCACCATTCCTCCCGCCACGCGAGTTCCGTTGGCTGCCACATGGCCGTCAAACGACTTGTGCTGCTTCACGCACATCGTCCGCTGCTGCCCCTGCCGCTTGCCGCCAGCCGTCTGCACTGCCAGCTGCTGCGACTCGGAGCGGGCGGGTTTCTTTCCGGACGCTGATCCAGTGGCACCCGAGATGCCCGCCCGCTTATTGGTGGTAGCAGCCTTGTCCCTCGCTTCGCCT